TACATCTCGCATCGCACTTGCAAACGTCATTTATGACAGTGAACCCTTAAAAAAAGGAAAAACGTTTGGCAAAACTGCTCAATTACAGCGGCATGCATACAGTCATTACAGTGGGAATGGGAAAAGGGAGGATTGGAAAACTTGTTAAAAACAGTCGAGCTAACTGTCGAGTCCCTACATAGTATTATTCTATTTGGACCTAGTCTCGGGACTGGTTTCCATTTGGAAATATATCCCGCTGATCTCTAGGTAATCCCGTGCCAAAGGTTATGATTAGGCCATTATCCTGCGTAAACTGAAAATCAGCACCATTACGCGAAGTCATTGTTTATTGGACCTCTACCCAATGTTTCAGTCAAACTACAAATCGCTGTTACTGGCTGAGGAAACAACATGTCGTGAGGCGATTGATATTCTTTTGAGCATGAACCGGAAGGAGCCAGATGGCGACTATGCGTTGTTCCTCACAGCACCTGAAGGGGAGGCACAAATACCTTCCGAGGTCAGTTGGCATTCAAATTGATGAAAATGGTCCCCAATTATCTGGCTTTTCAGGTCTCTCTGGTGCCAATTGCTGTGTTGTGTCAACCTTATCATAAGATTGTTATACGACAAGTTGATTCCCTGTAGATTGTCATATAACCAATGATCTTCAAATTATATTCGATTGGCATTGCTCGTATCTTGCGGTAATTACGCTTAGCAGTCAAGCATAAGTCGTCTATATGGATTTCACGTTCACTTGACGCGAAATTTGAATCCTGACAGAGGGAAGCACCACTTCTGTATCGATGCAGGATTATTGATAGACAGATATTTTCCCACTTTTAAGTTTACATGTTAATCTGTGATCATATTATTGTAAATATTGCTGATAGTGTAAGTAAAACTTTCAAATATTATCGTAAATGGTCAGTGCACGAACACTTTTACAGCTCTGGAAATATCAAAAGTAGTAGCCAATAGACTATAGAGATATGTGTGCATCAGCTAAGCTGAATATGATCTACGGATAACACTGAGAACCATGGAAAGGGTCAATAAAACCTTACAAAATTGTAGACATGCATACATCAGTACATAAACCAGTACAATATACTAAAATAAAAGTTTGGACTTTCTGAACCAAATTTGACTGACTTCATACTTTTTGTCCAGCTCTTAAAATAAAGTATCCACTCAAAAAGGTTGTGCATAAATGATCAGGTAGGTAATGAGTCGAGAAGGTGAGAGGAAAATAGAAGAGATTAGAACTAGCTGTGATCATGCAAGAGGTTTGCTTTTCAAAAGTCGGATTTTCGCAGCGAAATCCCATTCTTCTCTCCTCCATGAATTCTAAGAAAACTCATCTCAAAACGTTACAACAAATGGAACTAGTTTCTTTACACATTAAGACACGATACTCTATATGGAGGGAAGAAAGTCTTATCTGGGGCATTGCTAATTGATTTTGGTGATCCATATACTTTAAGAGCAACAGTTTTCTCCTTTATCAACAAGACATTCGCAGATTGCAATAACCGTAATCACATGGAAGCCACCATATAAATGTATGAAACAGAAAAAAAAAACCAATGAAACAGAAATCATCATTTAAGTTATTTTTAGGAATTTTATTTGCTCACTTCTACATTGTCTTAACCTCAAGAAAATTTCATTTTCTGGCGAGTTGGCTGGACTTTGGCTAGTTCTGGAGGTGAAGCAACTAAATCTAGTTTCATTCTTAAAAATCCAGTATGCCACAAAGCAAATAAAATTTCCAGGTTACAATGATCAACTTTATTTTCTTCCAATTGATCTTATCCATTGCTTTCGACATGCGTAAGAGTTTTTCATTGAAAAATAGTCTGTTCAGATGAAAGTGCTGTTGTAATAGAATCGTAATCATTTGTCCAACAACATTACACAAATGATAAGAATACGTAAAAGTGGGTCGTGTTTATAGAATACCGCATGTTTTTCAACAAATGTGTACAGATTATATCAACAGAAACAGAAGTACACTATGATTTTGAAATTTTAAAGAAAATCTTAAACTTTATTCCTAACTCTCTCCTATGAAAAGTTTGGTACTTTTTTACCAAGATAATTTGAACTTTTTGAAGTCTCTTCTGTGTAAAATTTATAATAAGAGGCATTTCCTTCTTTAAAAAAAAATTTGTAGGGGAGCAGAAGGAACTCAGCATAGTTTGAATCAATCATTATTGCTTACTGTTACCTGAACCCTCAGATAGTTGCTGATTTTACATAAACTGAGCGGACCTGCTAATCCCGTAATTCGCTCGCTGTTGAGATGTTAACTTTAGCTACATTCCTATAGAAAGGGAAGGCATTTATTGAGCGAAAGTAAAACCTTTCTAACATATGAACAAAAATATGATGGATCAGCAACCTGTAGAGCAATCAACCCTTTCCGTCTAAGGGCTCTAGTCCTATTCCATCATCCTGCCAGACAAATCTTTCAGATATAATTAACAATTAAAACAACTCGTCGATGAAATCTCGGAAAGTACTCGAACTATTTACTCTGGAAGAAGGTAGAAGATATGAAATGGTCTTTGATATTAAATCTGTTGAGTTACTTACAGTTATTTGCTAGCAAGTAATTTAGGACAAAGCTTGGGATGTGAGTGAAAGTTTTCAGAAATTCTTCAAACTTATTTTTTGCAATATTCCTTGATCATTTCATTTGCTAGGGGTGCCTGTCAAAATGTTTTAAGAACTAATAACTGTCTCCTAAAAAAAAACTAAGCGTCATATTTATTCACTATGTACCGTCAAAATTTGTGGTGACTTTTTGAAGGAGCTATTTCTTACTGAAATTTAGAAGAGTTTGTTATAATTCTACATATATCTAAGTAAGCTGCAGTAGAT